GCCACCAGGGCTGACAGGGACCATCCTGTCCCACAGGTCACTCCCGCAGCATCCCCGACTCCTTCCTGGGCCGTGGTTACGACAGCTACGGTTACGGCTCCTTCGGTGAGTGCCTTGTGCTGTCCCCCTGTCCTTCACCCCCCTGCCCACGGGCCGTGCCCACCCTCTGCCCTCCTTGCAGGGAACGGCTCCTCCAGCAGCACCGAGGGTGTCACGGACAGCCTGGGCTCCACAGAAGTCTCCTACAGTTACGTGGGTGAGTTGTGGGGCGACTGGTGTGGCCGCAGCCCTGCAGAGCCACGTGCCCAGTGGTGTCCCAGCTCTGCCCCTCTCTGTCTCCGGGGTGGGTCCTGGGGCTGGCAGCCCCTCCGTGCAGCCCACAGGGGGTCTCCATTGGCAGACACGTGCGGGGGAGCCCTGCTCCAGTAACTGTGGCTTTCCTTTGAAGGGCAGGAGCAGTTCAAGCGGCGCACGCCCTCCGCCCCGACGAGGCCGCTGAGCATTCCCATGGGTAGATGCTGGTACTGGGCAGGGTTGGGCCAATCAAAGCAAAATCTGCCCAGCCCCAAGTTCATGCCCAGGGCACAGAGCACCCCAGCTCCCCTCCCTCAGAGCAAGGGCAGCACCAAGGGGCTGCAGGGCAAGATGTTTGCCTGTGCCCCAGCTGTCCCCAGTGTGGCAGAGCCCCAGGAGATGGGCATGGGTGACGTTCACTCACGTGGCTCAGCCACCAGGGTCTGCGGGATTAGAGCCTGTCCCTGGTGAGAGTTGTCAGGGAAGCAGCCGAGTGGTTAATTGGGTGTGATTGGGGTCCCACGGGGCGGGTGCTGGGGTGGGCTGGGCCAGGGACTCCTCTGATGGTCCCGGCTTGGCCGCAGGGGAGAGATCCCTGGAGAACGTGGCCGGCAGGCCCCGCCTGGACTCGCTCAGCTCTGTCGAGGAGGATGACTATGACACCCTGGCTGACATTGACTATGACAAGAACGTCATCCGCACCAAGGTGTGTCCCACCCCGACCCCTGCTGGCTGCTGCCCGCTGCCCACTGCCCAGACAACCCCTCACCAGCCTCTCCTTCCAGAAATACCTGTGTGTGGCCGACCTGGCGCGCAAGGACAAGCGGGTGCTGCGGAAGAAGTACCAGATCTACTTCTGGTGAGCGGGGGGCAGTGGGGATGGGGGCATTGAGCAATGTCCCGACCCGGGGCGGGCAGCAGGGACCCCCTGACAACCCCCTGCCTCTGCCAGGAACATCGCCACCATCGCTGTCTTCTACGCCCTGCCCGTCATCCAGCTTGTCATCACCTACCAGACGGTAAGTGGGGCAGGTTGGCAGCTGCTGGGGCTCCTGGGAGCTCTGGGGGCTGCAGTCCTAAATTGTGCTCCCCAGCACAATGGGGACGCCCCTGGGGGTCCCCCCTGACCCTCACCCTGCCCCTGAATGCAGGTGGTGAACGTCACTGGCAACCAGGACATCTGCTACTACAACTTCCTGTGTGCCCACCCGCTGGGGAACCTCAGGTGGGTTCAGGGGGGCTGGGGGTGGGGGGCTGGGGGTCCCCTGTGCCCAGGGCTGGGCTGTGGTGGGGCCCCAAGGACAAGGGAGGGTCCACAGCACTCAGGTGTGGACTGGCCCCTCGCAGCGCCTTCAACAACATCCTCAGCAACCTGGGCTACATCCTGCTGGGTTTGCTCTTCCTGCTCATCATCCTGCAGCGTGAGATCAACTACAACCGGGCACTCATGCGCAATGACACCCACGCCCTGGTAAGGGACGGGGGTCACTGGGGTGCCCCGGGGGGGGCTCAGCCCCCCACGAACCCCCTGCTTCCCCACAGGAGTGCGGCATCCCCAAGCACTTCGGGCTCTTCTATGCCATGGGCACCGCGCTCATGATGGAGGGGCTGCTCAGCGCCTGCTACCACGTCTGCCCCAACTACACCAACTTCCAGTTCGGTGAGTGCCCCCCCAGCCCCACACTGCCCACGCCGGGGCCGCCCCCACACCCCTCTCACCGCTGGGCCCCCCCAGACACCTCCTTCATGTACATGATCGCGGGGCTCTGCATGCTGAAACTGTACCAGAAGCGCCACCCAGACATCAACGCCAGCGCCTACAGCGCCTACGCCTGCCTGGCCCTCGTCATCTTCTTCTCCGTGGTCGGCGTGGTGAGTAGGGCGGGTGTTGTGGCGGAGGGGGACACACACGTGGGTCACCCCCACAGCTCACTGCCCACCCCCCCCACTCCCTGCAGGTCTTTGGGAAGGGGAACACAGCCTTCTGGATCGTCTTCTCTGTCATCCACATCTTGGCCACGCTGCTGCTGAGCACCCAGCTCTACTACATGGGGCGCTGGAAGCTGGGTGAGGGCGGGCACCACGAGCAGGGTGGGCGGGGGGCAGCGCAGTGGCCCCCCCCGGTGTCACCTCCCCTCTCCCCACAGACTCGGGCATCCTGCGCAGGATCCTGCACGTGCTGTACACGGACTGCGTCCGGCAGTGCAGCGGGCCCATGTACGTGGTGAGTGCTGGCACCGGGGCCCCCCCGGCTCTGCAGAGACCCCTCCTGGCAGCCCCTGCCCCGGAGCGGCCGCCCACCACCCCTCACAGCCCCCCTGCCCTTTGCAGGACCGAATGGTGCTCCTGGTCATGGGAAACATCATTAACTGGTCGCTGTAAGTGCAGAGCCAGACCCCACCCTGCTTCTCTCCGTCCCTGCCGCTGCCCCCACCCTGCTCCTGCTGTCCCTCCGCTGGGGCTGGGCTGAGGACAGCCAGATCGTGACAGCCGTGAGCCCAGCATGACAGGTCCCCCTGCAGCTGTGGCACCCCGGTGTCACCTCACGCTGCCTGACCTCCCGTGGGTTGCTGGCATGCCTGGGGACAGCGGGCACACGGGCACCACAGGGGTCCCCAGGCTGTGCTGACCCTGCTGCCTGCCCCTGCCTCCCCAGCGCTGCCTACGGCCTCATTGTCCGCCCCAATGACTTCGCTTCCTACCTGCTGGCCATCGGCATCTGCAACCTCCTCCTCTACTTCGCCTTCTACATCATCATGAAGGTGGGAGCTGAGCCCCCGGCCCCCACGGGCCCGGCAGGGAGGGCAGGCAGGGCAGGGCATTGCTGCCAGCTCCTGCCTGCACAGTGACACCGGACTCTCCCGCAGCTCCGCAGCGGTGAGCGCATCAAGCTCATCCCCCTGCTCTGCATCATCAGCACCTCTGTGGTCTGGGGCTTTGCCCTCTTCTTCTTCTTCCAGGGGCTCAGCACCTGGCAGGTGAGCAGGAGGGTGGCCCAGGCAGTGGGGTGGGCAGGGTGGCCACGGGCGGGCGCAGTGACACTGGCCCTGTCCCCAACAGAAAACGCCAGCGGAATCTCGGGAGCACAACCGTGACTGCATCCTGCTCGACTTCTTTGACGACCACGACATCTGGCACTTTCTCTCCTCCATCGCCATGTTCGGCTCCTTCTTGGTAGGTGCTGGTTCCTCCGGCACAGCAGACCCTGCCCCTGCCCCCCAGCTCCCCATGCCCAGCTCCCCTCGCTCTCCTTGCTCCACAGGTGCTGCTGACACTGGACGATGACCTGGACTGCATCCAGCGGGACAAGATCTACGTCTTCTAAGAGCCCACAGACGCTGCCCTGGGACTGTGCCAAACACCCCGCTGCAGCCCTGGGAGGGGGGACCCACCCCCGGGGAGGGATGTCCGTGCTGCAGGTCCTGCCAGCCGCTCCGTCCCCCTCCCCACGCAGCCTGGGGGTCCCGGTGCACCTCCTCCCTGTCAGCCAGGTCCTTCCAGGCACTACGTGCCCATCCCTGGGCCTGTCGTGGCCAAAAACAGGGCTGGGGGGCCACCGGGGCGCCGTCCTCGGTGGCAAGTGACACTGGAAAAGGTGCTGCTGCTCCGTGTCCGTGTGCCCCTGGGCGCGGCGAGGGGATTGTGGCGAGCGCCGTGCCAGCAGCCCCACGGCCCCCCCGAGCTCGTGGGTGTGGGTTTCTCTTCAGTGCCTGAGTCGTGTGGGTGGGAGGTGGGGGTGTGTGGGGCCAGCACGGTGGTGGCAGTGGCCAGAGAGGCCCCACTCGTGTCTCCTGCAGTGTCCCGGGGGGGTGGCTGTGGCGGGCCCCCGTTGCCGCTCCCACCGAGTGGATCTGCCGGGAAGGGACTCGCATTAAAGTGTCTGCACTTTGCCTGGGCCTCCTGCCTCCTGCCTGGGCAGCAGGAGCCCGGGGGGGGTCTCAGGGGGGCAGCTACCACTGGCTGTCAGCCAGGCAGTGCTGTGGCACTGTCTCCTCCTTCCCACGGGATTTTGGGAGAGTGGAGATGCTGCGGCGCTGCTGCTGCTCTGGAGAACCTCTGTGGGAGGCTGGGGGTGGTCTGTGGGGCACAGGGTGGGGGCTGGCAGCCCCAGGGGTAGGAGGGATGCCCAGGGGGGTCCTATTTCACAGGCAGCAAAGCTCCTGGGGGCCCCCGTGGCATCGCAGCGCGGTGCCAGGGCTGCTGCGTGCCCCGCCGTGCCCTGACCCGCTCCAGCTGGTGCCCGCGGGGCAGAGGGAATCCCGGGATGCTGCGGGATGCCCAGGCGCCGTGCCAGCGGGATGCCCGCAGCTCGCAGCCTGCCCCGGCCGTCCCGGCCGGGCTCCGGGGGCGATGGGTCACCACGGGGCCCCCTCTGGACCGCCCCGGCTCCCGGCGGTGAGCACATGGGGAAACCAGCCATGAAGTCAGGGCGGGAGCCCTCGGCGCTGCCGCCTGGCTATAAAAGGATTTAGTCCATCAGCCCCCGGCCCGGTTCCGCCCCTGCCCCGCTGGGGCGGAGGCACGCGGGGAATGCTCGGGCTTTCGTCGCTGGTTTTCGGAGTCTTTCCCCAAATATGGTGCCTGGGATGGAGTCATGGAGCGCTGCGGGGCCGGGCGCCCCGGGAGGGAGGGCCGGGGGGGGCCGGGCCCCGCGCCCCGCTGACATCACCGTCCCGCCGCCCGCCTTTTAGCGCAAGGTCGGGGTCCCCGCGGGGCAGAGCGCTGGTCCCGCGCCGAGCATCGCCCTCGCTCCGTCCGCAGCCGCTTGTGAGTCCTGCCGCGGGGGGAAGGCGGGGGGGCGGCGGGGAGGGTTCCTGGAATATGGATGTCAGCCCCCGGCATGGGGGTGCTCCCCCCCGGGTTGGGGACCCTGTACCTGGGATAGCGAAGCCGCTCCCGGGGCTGCCCTATGCTCCCTGAATTATGGGGACTCTATTCCTGCGGGTGGGACGCAGCTCCCCGGGATGAGGATGCTGCTCCCCGGGATGGGGATGCTGCTCCCCGGGATGAGGATGCTGCTCCCCGGGATGGGGATGCTGCTCCCCGGGATGGGGATGCTGCTCCCCGGATTGCACCGCTGCTCCCCGGAGGAGGGTCGGGCTCTCCTGCTCGGGCTGGGGTCGCTGCCGGGGTTCTGTCCTGCCCCTGGCCCCTCAGGACCGCGTTCCCATCAGGGATCCGCTGCTGCTGGTCCACCGGCCTCGGCCCCGCGGGGGTCGGAGGGGCCGTGCGGGGCTCAGGGCAGAGAGGAAGGGGCGAGTCCAACCCCGACGCTTCCGTTTCTGCCCCGTGTCTCGGCAGGGGGCTGGCAGGGCCAGGGGTGACTGCCGGCCACTGCCGTGTGGCCGAGGGAGCCGTGGGTCTGTGCGTGAACCCTCTGTGCCAGCTCGGGCCAGGACACAGAGCGGGACTAGCTGTGGCATCGCTGGAAGTGCCCAGTGGTGCTGGAGTCCGGGCACAGGCTGCCCCTGGGGCTCATGGGGTACCCCTGCATTGCTGGCAGCAAGCGGGGTCAGCGTTCTCTCCTGCACTGAGCTGTGCCAGGTCTCAGCCCGTCCCGCAGGAGCCCTGGTGCCTGTGCCCAGTGGTCAGGATGAGCCCACGGGAGGCAGGTCGTGGGTGTGGGACCGAGCACACGGCTCCCCGAGGGCACAGCCCTGGCGCTCAGAAGCTTCATGCCAAGCAAGGAGCTGTGTAGGGAGGAGCAAGGCCAGCTCTGCCAAGGGCTTGGCTGCTGCTCACGGTGCTTCTCCTTCCTGGTATCCTCCCTGGCATCTTCCCTGGCACCTTGGGCCCTGCCTGCAGCCAGCTACCTGCCATCATTGCCACAGCATGTCCTTACAAGGGCACGGGCACAGCTCCCACCACTCCTGCCTCGCCCACACTCGTCCCTGGCACCCAGACCTGCCACACCAAGGCCACCTCATGGGCACCCTGCTCTGCCATGGTGCAGCCACCATGCTGTGACACAGCCACCCAGCCCTGCCGTGGTCACTCTGCCACCTGGATCCTGGCATGGCCACTCCAGGGATGTTTGTGCCAACCAAGGGACAGGGATGAGGCTGCTCCCCTGCATAGCCTGAGCCAGGCAGCGAGGGCGAGGCACCTCTACCAGGACAGGAACCATCTGTCTGGGCAGGTTTTGGGGGTCATGGCTGTGAACTGACCTCCAAACACTCCTGGATGGAGCAAGGGAAGAGCCAAGAGAAGGGCATGTCCTTACTGCAGCAGGGTGGGCGGTGGATGCCACAGGGCTGCTGCAGGGTCCCTGGGTAGGGGGAAGGCATCTCCACAGCCTGACGGTCTCCGTCGTGCCACCAGGTCTCCCACCACCGCAGCCATGGCAAACAAAGGCCCAGCCTATGGCATGAGCAGGGATGTGCAGTCCAAGATCGAGAAGAAGTACGACGACGAGCTGGAGGACCGGCTGGTGGAGTGGATCGTGGCGCAGTGCGGGTCCTCCGTGGGTCGCCCCGAGCGGGGCCGCCTGGGCTTCCAGGTCTGGCTGAAGAACGGCATCGTAAGTGGGGTCCCCGGGGGGAGGATTGGCTGGTGGGGGGCTCCGTGGTGTTGCAGCAAGCCCAGGCTCTCCCCCGTGGCAGGTGCTCAGCAGGCTGGTGAACAGCCTCTACCCCGACGGCTCCAAGCCCGTCAAGATCCCCGACGCGCCGCCCACCATGGTCTTCAAGCAGATGGAGCAGATCGCCCAGTTCCTGAAGGCGGCCGAGGACTATGGTGTGACCAAGACAGACATGTTCCAGACCGTCGACCTCTTTGAAGGTGCGGGAGGGGGGCGGTTGGGGCTGGGGGATCCAGGGCTGCTGTGCTGTGCCCTTCCTCACATCCCTCCCTCTGTCCCTCGGCAGCCAAGGACATGGCGGCGGTGCAGAGGACGCTGATGGCCCTGGGGAGCCTGGCAATCACCAAGAATGATGGGCACTACCACGGGGACCCCAACTGGTTCATGAAGTAAGTGGGGGAGTGTCAGAGCTGGGTGTGGGGGCCCCTTTGCCCTGTGGCTGCCCAGAGCACCTTGGAGCCCATGGAGGTGGTACACTGGGGAGGGAGAGGGGCTGGGGCTGGGGATCAGGGGGGGCTGCTGGTCACCCGGGTGGGTGCGGGTGCCCCACGGCCTCTCCCCGTGCCCCGCAGGAAGGCGCAGGAGCACAAGCGGGAGTTCACCGAGAGCCAGCTGAAGGAGGGCAAGAACATCATCGGGCTACAGATGGGGACCAACAAGGGAGCGTCACAGGCGGGGATGAGCTACGGCCGGCCCCGGCAGATCATCAGCTAGGCACCCCCCCGCCGCCCCCAGCCCTCCCCAGCCGGGACCTCCGTCTCCGCTTCCCCCCGGCCCAGCGCCGCAGCCGCCCGAGCGTCGGCGGCCGCCACCAGCCCCGCACCGATTGGTATTTATTGAGGAGCAAACGCCCCCCAAACGCCAGCCAACAACGCCCCAACGCCAGCGGCCGCACGCGCCCCGCAGAGCCCCCCGCCCCGGGGCCGCAGCCCCCCCGCCCAGCCCCGCGCCCCCCCCCCCGGCACCCACGGGTGTCCCACGGGTGGGATGGGCACGTGCCCCGGCCCACGGGGTGGCCCCCCCTGCCCGCAGCCCCCCCCACGAGCCCCGCGCCACTGCCGCAGAGATCCCTGCGAACGGGGAGAAAGAGAGAATTGGGCCTCGGTTTTGTACTTGGTTTTTGTCGAAATTAAAAGGTTATATTCATCTAGTTGTGGCCTGACGAGGTTTCCTCCCGCCTGGCTGGTGACTCTGGAAAAGCTGAAGCCACCCTCCCTAAAAGGCCATGGCTGCTGCTTCTTCCAGCTCCAAACCTGGGAAAACCACAGCTGGGGATCAGGCTTTCCCTGCCCGGCTTGGAAGACTCTGCCCTCTCCCCCCCGAAGCTCAACACCCACCTTTCTCCTCACTCCTTCCAACACTCTGGCCCAGCCCTTGCATCCCCCTGCCTGGAGCAGCCCCCGTTATCCCGGCTCCTGGGAGCAGGGCATGGAGGGCTCACAGCCCCCACAGCCCCACACCCCAACACTGGGTCCCCCCAGGCCCCGGTGCTGGGAGGGGATGGGTGACGCATTTTTCCACAGTGAGGAAGCTCTGGGAGAGCAGAGGAGTGACGGATGGGGGAGAGGAGGGTTTTTCAGGCTTTATTTGGAAAGCTACACAAAAGGGCTTTGCTGATTAAAAAACAAACCCCAGCCTTAAAAAAATAAACCACCAAACCCAAAGACATGTGAACAAGCCAACCCTGCTCAGACGAGCCACTGCCAGAGCAACTCATCCTCCCCTCCCTGGCCCAAACTAGGTATTGCTCCCAGCTTTGTCCCTCCTGGATGGGGATGGAGATCTGGGACAGTGGCCCCAGTGAGCCCTGCTGCCAGAGGGACTCCTGTGCCCACTGCTGCAGGAACAGCCTCATCCTGCCACCCCAACAGGCCTGTTCCTGCTTCCCCAGCCCCACAGCTGCTCCATGCCCAGGGGAGAGGAGGAACCAGCAGGATCAGAGCACAGGGGACAGGGAGAAGCGCTGGTTGGAGATGAGTAAAGTAGCTCCCTGCTTCTAAACTGGGATAACTGGTGGGTAGAGGCCACTGCCAGCCCAGTGGGCAGGAAACTGCCAGTGCTGTGGGGTCCCTGCCTGGAGAGGTACCTTCCAGGGGCCCTGCTGGGTTTTCCAGGCTCTCTGCAGAAATCAGGGATGGACACGTCTTGCCTGTGCTGCCAGGCTTGGGAGCAGTGGCGTGAAGGGGGTTGGAGTGGAGCTCTGCCACAGCTGCCACGCTCCCAGGAATGGCACAGGGCCCTGCTCCACACACAGCAGGGACCTCTGAGTGCCCTGCAGGACAGGCTCCCTCAGGAAGGGGTTTAAGGCTTGCTTTGTTTTCCAGAGCGAGGGAAGGGGAGCTCCCCTTCCAGTACCAGCACTCTTTTTTCTTTGTTTCCAAGCCACTTCCAACATCACCTTCCACAGAACACAGTGGCAATGGTCCACTCTGGCTCAGGAATGAGTCTGTGCTGCCCGTGCCCAGGAGGGTCGTACCACGAGGGAGGGCCCCAGCCCAGCCCAGCCCCAGCCCAGCCCCAGTCAGCAGGGCCGGTGCTCCCTGTCCTCCAGGAGGAGCTCAGCCGGTGCCTCCCGGCCCAGGTATCCCGCTCCAGCGGGAGCTGCCTCGTGGAAGCTCACAGCTCTGCCATTGCTGGGAAGTTCGGGGTGGGTGGGGGTCCAGGACCCCTCCTCCCCATCTCGGGCAGGCTCTGGGTGCTCACACTCCATCTCGGCCTCCTCCACGTCCTTCTCCCGGTACAGCGGCACCGACTCCATCTCCAGGCCGCTCTCCAGGGCTCGGTGCTTCCCGCCCTGCTGGTACCACCTGCAGCTGGGGGAGCCAGAGCAGGCCAGGTCCAGCCCCACGTCGTTCCTCGTCAGGTAAACCTCCAGCATGTAGTAGAAAGTCCAGAACACGGCGAAGCATCCCAAGAGCAGGAGGGTCTACGGAGGGGAAACCCCTTGAGAAACGCCACCCTTGACCCCCCTGAGCCCTGCCCACTGCCCAGCAGAGGGGTCACAGTGCCCCAAGTAGGGTCCTGCTCCTCCAGCCCATCCTGGGGGACACAGGGACCCCCTGGTTCGCAGACAGGCTCACCTTGAGGGTGTTGGCTGTGATGGTGTAGTGCTGCTCCTCGGGGATGTCCAGCCCCGGGGGACAGGGCAGGGAGAAGTTGCTGCTCAGGTACTGCCCACTCATGGCTTCCTCCAGCAGCCTGGGGACAGAGGCACATTGTGAAGGTCCCACTGGCAGAGGGGCTCCAGGGAGGGTCCCAAATGCCCACCAAGGGTCTGCAGTGCCTCTTTCAGCAAACAGCAGTGCTGTGTTCTGCAGCCCACGGCTGCCCTGTGAGGTGTGAGGGCCCCTGCCATGCACCTTGCAGCAACACAGCTCCACCGAGCAGCACCTGCTCACAGGTATGGGCAACACTCCTCAGTCTCCTGCCCCTGGCTCCCCACCAAGCCAGGACTGTGGTGTCCTACCTGTGCCGTTCCTTCATCTCTGCCGGGGACCAGGAGGAGCCGTACAGGGTCAGCTGCCACTGCTTTAAGGTGCCAGGCCTCAGGCTCTCATCTCCTGGGGAAGAAGCAGGTTGGTCCAGCGGGGAACTCTCCCAGGTGATGAGCTGGCAGCTGCCTGGGACACGGCCCAGAGCTGCCACCAGCCCGGGAGTGTCCCCTGGCAGGCAGGACGTGTGTCCCCTGGCAGGCAGGACTCACCGATGTCCCTGACGAGCAGCCTGTACGTGCCCTGCGCCTCCTCGCCCCAGCACCGCACCGTGGAGAAGGTCCAGTCAGAGAAGCCATTGGGGTCCCTGCCAAGGGGTGAGGGGAAACAACCCATGAGAAGGTCATGGAGCCTGAGCCATGAGGCTGACACAGGCCCTGGGGTCCTGCCCTCCCCAGCCTGACCCCTCGGTGCTTACGAGTCCATGCTCCGGGTGGTCCCAATCAGGGACATCATCCCACTGGGGCAGAAGAGCCTGATCTCCAGGTTGCCACGGCGGGGGTGGGTTATGGTGACAGTGACTGCCACGTGCTCCAGGGTCCTCATGCCAGACAGCTCCAGGTCGGCGGTGGTGACTGGGAGAGGGAAGGCAGGGTTTGCTGAGGCTGGTGGTCGACATGGAGTCCCCACTCCCAGCCTGCCCCATTTAACAGGACCTGTGTGGGACTGGGAGGAGAGACTAGGTGTCTAGGCTCCCTGATCCCATTTCAAACCACTCCCAGGCCCACGGATCCTCACAGCCCCAGAGCTGCCAACCATAGCCCAGGGAGCCTGGCATGCTCCAGAGTGAGCTGTAGCTGTGGCTGGCCTGCTCCTGGCAGGTGGGTGCTCCCTGGGTGCACCTCTGCCAGCAATACAGCTGGGACAGTGAGAGGTGCAGGGCCAGACTCCCAGGACCAGCATCTCCAGTGAGGCATGGAGGGGGAATGTGCTCAGCCTCAGGGCAAGGAGCTGTGCCCAGCAGAGCCAGGAGCTGCAGGGGGGCCGGGAAGGGCTTGGGCCGAGCTCTCCTTCCCACTGGTAGCAGCCTGAGCAGCGCCTTGTTGATGTGGACAGGGCTGGCCAAGTCGGGAGCTGGAGCATTACCTAAAATGGTCAAAGGCAGTGGAGCGGGTCTGGCCGCTGCCCAGCCCTGTCTGGCTCCCCAAACACATCAGTCCATGGGATGGGGTTATGGGGAGGGGACGGCAGCAACAGGCAGATCCCCTGGGGAAGGGCAGCGGAAAGAGAAGAAAAAGCACAGGCAGCCCAGCACTTAACCCCTTCGTGCCCTCACACAGCCCAGGGCTGCTCCTGCCCTGCTGGATCCTGGCCTGGGTGTGTGCAGCACGTGCTCTCCATGGCACACCTGATCTTACCATTCCAGGCGACCTCCAGCTCCCGTGGGAGCAGGGGGATGCTCCTGCCCTCCTTCAGCACAGGGCTCACGTACGAGGCAAGGTATGGGACAGACTCCCAGATCTGCCAGGGGGAAGGGGAGAGGATTCAGCACGAATTGCACCCTCCCTGCACATCCGTCCCTCAGTCTCCTGGGGCTCTCACAAGCTGCTCCTGGATGTGGGCCCAGGCCAAGGGGCCTCTCCCAATGCTGTTTTGGGGCACACAGACCTGGGCAGCTCACACTGGGTGGTGTGAGCACTCTGGGGATGGAAGCAGTGCCCACACACCCAGGAGAGCTGGAGGGGGGTGAGTAAGACTTGGGACTCCCCAGCTCTGGGTCTGTCCCCACCATCACCCGAGTGGCTTTGAGTGGTTACTCGAGGCCATCCCATTCCAGCTCTGGACACAGTAGGGCAGGAAGGGGGAGCAGCATGGAAGTCCCCATGGCACTGGGGGCACTGGGTTGGCAGTGGCAGTGACCCAGCACAGCTGCTCAGCACTCCACACACGAGCTGGGACCAAGTGCCAGAGGGACGTGCCCGGGTCTCCGTGCGAGCGGAGCAGGAAGAGATGGGGATGCTGCTGCTGCTCCGACCACAGCACACCCTGGAGCTGCCAGCTGAGAACACCCTGCTTCTCAGGGCAGGACACCCTCCCTGCAGCCACTGTGGAGGGAGGGAGGAAGGTGCTGGGGCTGCTGACAAAAGTCCCCACACTGTGAATCAGAGCTGTGGGCTCCCAGTAGCACAGCTCTCACCATGGCTATATATAGTGCTGGAGAGCAGCAGCCCGGGGCAGCTCTCAGGCACTGCCAAAAGCCTCATGACTTCATACCAGAAGCAGCCTCAGAGACAAGGCCAGCAGGATGGTGGCCAAAGCACTGGCCCTGAACGGCAGCAGTGTCACCCCACGGCGTTGCCAGGACAGGATGTGTCCCAGCCGCTGGGCTGGGCTGCTCTACCTGCCCAGAGGGCAGGTCTGGGAAGGAGGGAATTACCTTGGCAGCATTGACCAGCCTCCAGGCGTTCAGCAGGCCAAAGCCATGCTGATGGCTGTGGCTGAAGCCTGCCTGGTTCGTGTCCCACTTAGCGTGACGGTCCTCGTACTGCAAAGAAACACGGGGTGCTCTGGTTACCCTGGGGGACTGTCAGCCCCGAAACCCAAAGGGAACCAGGCCTGAAGGGAAAGAGGCTCAGACACATCCCACAGTGGCAGGGAAGCAAACCCACATGGCCTTATTAGAAAGAAACAGGTTGTCCTTTGTTTGAAACAAATCCCA